TCTTTCATTTCTCTCTATCTCTCTCTCTTTCTTCCCTTTTCTCTTTCATCTCTTTCTTGCGTGTGCAAGCAAAATCCCCCCCTGGGCCAGGATCAAGGCAGAGGTGACAACAACTCTCCTCCCGCTGTCGCCACTGCACAATGAGGTGAGTAACTGGCAGGAGACTCCTCAGTGCCAGACTCAGGTCAGTGCGAGCCATGGTCCCCTTCGTGTTGGCTCAGGAAGGAGGGAAATGGGGAGTAGCAACAGCAGCTGGTTGGGTGCAGGGATGGAAGAGCTCCAGCTCTCCTGTGCTGTCCAGGGCTCTCCTTGTGCAGAGCTCTGGAACTCTTCCCTCTCTGCATCAGAGACAGCTGCTGCAGCTCTTTCCTGAGCCAACACAAAGGATCACCTGAGTCTGGCACTGAGGAGTGTCCTGCGCAGCGTGGCTCTCCCGCGCAGCATGGCTCTCCTGTGCAGCGCAGGAGTCGCTGTCCCCGCCGTCGTCATCCCGGTCCAGGAGGGTATTTTGCTTGCACACGCAAGAAAGAGATAAAAGAGAAAAGGGGAGAAAGAGAGAGAGAAATGAAAGAGAGCTGGAAGGAGAGAATGGGAGAGAGGGAAAAGAGAGGGAAACAAATTAGAGAGATAAGGGGGAGAGGGAGAGAGAAATGAAAGAGCTGAAGGGAGAGAATGAGAGAGGGGGAAAAGAGAGGGGAACAAATCAGGGGGAAAGAAAGGAAGAGAAAAGAAAGAAACTAACTTTCTCAGAACTATGATGAAAGCAATGGCAAGCTAGATCTCTTGCCAAGAAAAATGCAGTTTGCCAGAAGGCACAAATTGAAAACAAGTCTGATTTTTTTTTAAAGAAAATAACAGAGATGGCAAAAAAAATGCATCTGAAAATAAGATTATTTATAATTTTGGATAACATATCCAACATTGTTAAACTCAAAAGAAATCAAAATATATATCTTATTGCTATTAGTACAGTCTTGCCAGCTTCTATCAACTTAAGAGTTCACTATGAAAAGATTACAGAGAAACAATTTCCTACAATTAATAACTTTATTTTGGATTTGCTATTGTATTGCTTTTATTTTGCTGTGAGCCGCCCAGAGTCCTAATGGGAGTGGACGGCATACAAATTTTATTAAAGTTAAAGTATTCAGTGAGAAAGAAAGAAAAAGAGGGAAAGGGAAGGAAAGAAAGAAAGGAAGAAGAGAAAGGGAGAGAAAAAATAGAGAAAAACAGAAATGAGAGGGAGGGGGAGAGGAGAGAGACCCTATTCCCACAGAAAACAGAGCCATGAAACCTGGGTAGGCATGTCTAGGGGGGAAGGGAGATGTCATCTGACTAGGTGGGAGTGATGTTGAGGTTTAGTGGCTCGCGGTGTTTTCTTTTCTGTGGGAAACGGATCCAAATGGCTCTTTGAGTGTTTAAGTTTCCCGACCACTGCTCTAACTAAACAGCTTTCTGAAAGGAAAAAAAAAGTGTTTGCACTCTGCAAACCTCCCCAAAATGGCCCGTTTTTCGCAAAAATGGGCCTGTTTTTTTTAAAAGGCACGAATAGCCTTGTGGGGCTTGCAGAGTGCTCCTGTGGGGGTGAGGCAAAAATGAGCAGAAAAACAGGCTTTTTTGTCAAAAAAATTGCATGCATAGCCTTATGGAGGCTTATAGAGTTCTCCTGGGGACTGGGGGAAACACAGGCCGTTTTTCGCCCTTTTCTGCCCTCCCCAGCCCCCAGGAGCTCCCTGAACGCTTCCATAAGGCTATTCACGGCCATTTTGCTGAAGGGGGCGGGGCTTCATGAGGCAAAAAATGCTGTATTCGGTGTATAAGACACACCAAGAATTTCAGCCACTTTTTAGAGGAAAATTTCTTATACTCCGAAAAATACGGTAATTCTGATCAATTATTAAAGAGAACCTGCTATTTTTTTCCCCCAACAGTACTGAAAAAACTATTCAATTATACAAAAACACAACTGTGTACTGAGGAAAAATCTTTAATTTTTTTACCCTCTAATATACCTTCTTGTCTCTAGTTTCGCCTTCCCTTCCTGAAAATATTCTGTTAAAGACCATGGATATAGGTAGTCCTTGTTCAGTGACTGCCACATACAGCGACTGTTCAGAATTGCAATAGTGATGAAAAAGTAATTATGTGAGTAATCCTTGCATCTACAACCTTTGCAGGCCTGACGTAAGACCACAAAGCACAGTCACAGTTTCATTCAGTGACTGCTTTGCTTAATGACAGAGTTGCCAATCCTGATTACAGTCACTAGAAAAAGACTGCCTATAAACTCTTTTCATTTGTTAGCTCACTACAAATTCCTTGTCAATTTACATTGAAACAAAGTATGTCTTATATCATACATAAGATTTTATACAGATAGCCATTGATTTGGGATCTCAATTGGGACAGGAAATCCCAGAAACACAACCAAAAGATAATCCATTTCATCCAGGACTCTTTTTCAGCATAGGTGAGAAAGAAGATGTCTACCAAATAGATCGACAGCAATACTAAGGGTATGTTCTCTACTAGCCCCCTACCACACAACAACCAAAAATCTCACAGGGGCCTCCCATCATCCAAAATGTTACGTCTGAATTAAACCGCTCCTTCTCAGGGTACCATGCTGTCGTGAGTCCTCAGCGACACATGCTGGACAACACTGCTGTCTGGTGATCCATTGCTGCAGTCTACCTGCGAGCCCAGTTCTAGCCCACAGCAGCTCCTTTTCAACCAAACACTTTGCTGTTGGCCACTGAAATACCAGTGTTGCTGCCAAGTGCAGCACCTCTGCCGCCGAGCAAGGCACAAATAATGTCTCCCAAACAAAACAGCTGTGTACCAGCTGTTGGAAACTGGCACACACCCAAGTCAGTCTCAACACAGCTCCTACTCTTGATAACACAATGGGAGACAAAGCAAGAACAGATGCCTAGCATAGCTCTCTCCTTCCACAGCTAAGAGCCCAAGCTGTGCAGGTTTATAAGCAAATGTTGAGGGTTAAATCTCTTTCCATAAAAGTAGCCCAGTGCAGATCAGGCAGGCTGCAACATCTGCTGTGTCTGCAAACCACCTCTCTCATAAGTCCAATATTAAAAAAACCAAAAACCAATCATCCATACCCTAACACAAAAAAACAATCACCCAAAAGCAAGCCCTACCGTTTATACCAGTGATGGCAACTTTTTTTGGCTGCCGTGCCAAAAGCGGGTGGAGCACAGGGGGTGTCTGTGTGCCACACTCATAATGCTATGTGTGCGCACGTGTTCAATCAGCGACCCTCCCCATGGGTTTTTCGCCTTCCCCAGGCTCCAGAGGCTTTTTAGGAGCCTGAGGAGGGCAAAAACAGCCCCCCCACCCCTTCCCCCAGAGGCCTCAGGAGCTTCCCTGAAGCCTCTAGGAGGGCAAAATACGGACCTATGGGGAACCCGGAAGTTCGGGAATGATGACTTCCAGTTTGTCCATAGAGCCTATTTTCCACTTCCAGAGTCTTTTTTTCATTTCATCTTTTCAAACCTGAAGGCTCTGTAGGGCAAAAAACGGAACTATGGAAAAATTGGAAGTCCCAGTTTGCTCGTAGGGCTGTTTTCCGCCCTCCGGAGCCTTCAGGGAAAGCTCTGAAGATCAAAAATCAGCCCAACGGACAAACCGGAAGTCACCAAGTGACTTCCGGTTTCTACATTGGGCATTTTTCACCCTCTGGAGCCTTCTGAAGGCTCTGGAGGACGAAAAATGGTCATATGAGCAAAACGGAAGTCCGTTTCCAAACTTCTGGTTTGCCCATAGGGCCGGTTTTTTACACTTTGGAGGCTTCAGGTAAGCCTCCAGAGGGCAAATAACAGCCTCAAAAGACAATGGTTCCGCATGCCTCAGGTTCGCCATCATGGGCTTATACAGTATGCCAACCATTAAAAAGGTGTATTCTATTTCCTAATAAATAAAACTGACCCCAAACTACCTGTTAACAGGAAATTTTCTATGCTGCTCCCCTCAAACTCAAGCATACCCCCGATAACAAATGCATTGCAATCTCGACAATGAGCAGTCTCAACTTTTAAAATAAAGGTAATGAAGGTCATACTCACTCTGAAGAAGGATACACACAGCTGACAACCATAACGTTCTGTAAAATAGGGGGGGGGGGAAGAAAACATCAAGACTCATGGAAAAAGTAAAAGCAAATTTTACAAGTCAACAATGCATCTTGTTTGGTTGGTCCTTATTAACATCTGATCACCAGCTTCTCAAGCTCCTTGTCTATATCATAAGACATAGATAAATCTCTGTCTCCTAGACTTACGCAATATTACCTACTAATTCCCAGTCAATATGAACTTTATCTCTGGCATGGCATTGTCTTCCTCTGAGAAACCATTTTTTGGTGTAGTGGTTAAGACATGAGGTAGAAAACCCAAAACCAGTGATTCTAGTCTAGGCATGAAACCAGCTGGGTGGCCTGGGCCAGTCATTCGTTATGAACCGAAAAGAAGGAGGCAATAGAAAACCACTTCTGAAAAATCTTTACCAAGAAAACTGCCAGGTCCAGGCAGGGGTCAACACTAACTCGAAGGCATGCACATACACATTTGTCTTCCTCCACTTATTTTCAGCCTACTCTTTCCTTGATAAGTGGGATGGGGTAGTATGATCATTCTCACACTTTGTGACCTTTTAGACTGGCTTTAGGAATTAGGGGTGGGCAGCACAGTATTGCAGTGGTCCTCCTCCTTCCTTCAGAGTCAGTTTGAGTCTAGGTTGATTGAGGGAGGAGGAAAGATCCAGGTGGTGAGGTTGGGGGAGATCCAGCCTATGGCCCTCTGTGTAAGGTACTGCCCTAGCAATGCCATGGACATCCTATCTCACTGCCTGGAGGCTGTAATGGTCTGGCTGAGTTTTAGTGGCCTTCGACTCAATCCAAGCAAGACAAAGTGACTTGGGGTATTTAGGGCTCCAGATGACCTGGAGTTAGTATGGATGTGGTGGCCCCAGATCAACCTTGTATACAATATGGGGGTCCTCATGAACTCATGGCTTCTGTTAGACCACCAGATGGAAGTCATAGCCATAAAGGTGTTCGTACAGCTTAGGGTTGTACATACCAGTTGTACCCATACCTGAATTGGCTTTGCTCACACTCAGTCTTCTCCTTGTGACTTCTTGCCTGGACTATTATAATGCAGTCTACGTGGGGCTACCACTGAAGAGCATTTGGAAAGTTCAACTGGTGCTGAATGCAGTTGCATAGGTAATAATGTGTGTCGGGTATTCAACACATGTAGCATCACTGTTGCGTGAGCTGCACCTAGAAGTATGCTTCTAGGTGCAATTCAAGATGCTGGTTATTTCCTTTAAAGCCCTTCACGGCTTGAGGGCCAGGTTATCTAAAGGCCATCTTCTCCAAATTGCTTCTACTAGTTCTGTCAGGCAGGTTGGACATGTTTCAGGTCCTGTTAGCCGGTGAAACCATGAGACATGACTTCTCTGCTGTAGGCTCTGCCCTCTGGAATATTATCCCTTCAGATATCAGGATGACCCTGACTCTGTTGACTGTTCCACAAAGCCATAAAGACTTGGTTATGTGTCAGGGCCTGGGCCCCTAAATATATTCAGAGTCCCCTTTTCTGATTGCATTAACATCCATAAAAACCTTTTAACTTGGTGCCATATATTTATTTTACATCATTTTAATACTTTTTGTTTATGATATACACCACTCTTGTTGACATGGACAGCTATAGAGATCAATCAATGAATAAATAAAATAATGCCAGATCAATCAATCTCTCATAGTACTGTGTACATGGGAATGGTTGGCATCAGTAAATGTGTTTCATCAAAGAGTCAAATAAATGCAAATTAAAATACAATAAATATAAACTCATTAAGCAACAACTGAAGACAATGTTGAAATATAATTGAAGTAGAATTGCTGTTTATACTATTTAGCAATTCTAAAAATTAATTTAAAAAACAAAATCCTGTTAATTCTGCTAAAATATTAAACAAATTTAAAAAGCTACAATTTTAGTTCAAGAACAAGAATAATTCACTATTTTACCTTTTCTACTCCTCTGAGAAATTTGTCTATTCCCGTGTAATTCCGCCTAGGATCTGTTAGCAGCTCACAAAGTCGCTGAATGGTAAATGGGATACTGAAACAAATTGAAACAAGCTAATTTTCACTTTGAATGCATATTGAATGAGAGAATGAATAAACGTGTTCAGGTGGTACATTTTTAAATCTATAACCATACATTTTCACTTGTTCATTTACTACCTCTAAAACTATATTACATTAAGCAAACAGTAGATGGAGCTGCAAGATCACAGAAATATGTACTTGCCTCCAAAGTGTACTGTGATAGCTAAAGAGTCCCCACACATTCACTTAATTATTATCATCCATTGTATAGTACAAAAAATTAATAAGGGGTGGACCAAGTGAAGAATCTCTTGCTTTTAGATATTCAGATATGTGTGCTGAGACATACACTCTATTATAAAGGTTTCTGAATTCCTTCATAGGAAGTGATACAAACTTACTCATAGAAAATATGCTTTCTACAATACAATATAAAATAACTGCTTCTTTTCAAATGTAAATGAATCCTCCTCTATTTAAAAATTAGTACATCAACTATACTATGTTTCCCCCAAAATAAGACAGGGTCTTATTTTCTTTTGCCCCATGAAATATGGCCTTGGGCTTATTATAGGGAGAGGGCTTAATGTTTTGGGGTTGCCGGGCAGCTGCTTCCTTGCGAACTGGCTCCCGAAGAGCCGGGCACAGCCTCAGAGGCTAAGCAGCCATGAGGTGACCACGCTCACGAGCAACCACCCAGCAAACCCCCTCTCCAGCTGGGCAGAACGCCATTCACTGACCTAGGGGGTATCCCTAATGTGCCAAGGTACGTGGCGCTCTGCCCACTCCCCAGCTCCCGCGGCTTGGCACATTCGGGATACCCCTTAGGTCAGTGCATGGAGCTCTGCCCGGCTGGAGAGGGAGGTTGTGCGAGTGCTTGTTCCGTCCCCAGCAAGCATGCCTCCCAGCCTCACCATGCCCTGGCCTAGCTCTCCCTGCAGGGCCAGGGCACCGCTGCTGCTGCTGCGCTCCGAACGTAAGTTCTTCTCCGGCTTCCAAACTCCAAAACTCGGCTCCCGAGTCTTCCAGCAGCGGCCGCTCTAGGAGAGCACTCTATGGTTGTGGGATGGCTGCCAGACAGAGAGTCTTCCAGCAGCGGCCGCTCTAGGAGAGCACTCTATGGTTGTGGGATGGCTGC